TCACAATCATCAACCAATGAATCACCTACTGTAGAACCCCTCATATCCGACCATGACAGGAAGCTCGGCATTATCACCCTAGACACGAAACCAGTAGAAGGTCGGACACTTAGGTCAGATATCCTGAGGAGTCGGTTATTCCGAGGTTGGGTATGAGAGGTTTTACTGTATTGCCAAGTGTATGCAGCAAACCCTTGTATTGGAAGATTTCCCTGAATATATACAACGTTTACGTTGTTTTCAACTAAATTTAATATAACACAAACATAAAATCGAGACTACAGTACAATCTTTTCATAAGCAGAATAGTAGTTGAAATGAATTTAATGGGAAGGTTTAATTAAATACTCATGAAAAGGGGATATGTTTTATTGGAAGTTTCGACAGAGTATCTGTACCAAAATACAAATTTAACGGGAATGACAAACTATTATAGACGAGGATCTAGGAACATAGCATCTGTGAGTCAGTCTTTCATAGAAATCACCCAATGGAGCATTTCTCGTTCCAAACAGCTTATAACTATCATAAGCTCTGTGCTAAATTGTTGTAAGCCCTCAGTTATACAAAATGAAGTGTAACAAAAGGTACAATTACAATCAAAACATCAGTAACACAAAAACCTGTAAACCAATAAATAGCATGATAGTACCTACTGTAAGATTACTTAAGAGTTAAGAATACATGAAGGTATTCAGTACCAATAGTTCTTTTTGTTTGTTTAAACCTGTATTAGCAAAAAAATTGTATTCAGTCAATCATTAAATTTGTCCAATGTAGTAGCTATTATAATACTGTACGGTTTTTCATCTAGAACGTGCACACCATATTGGAAAAGTAGTTGTTGAATTATAAAATTTAAATTACGTAAACAAAACTGAAAGTTGAAAGTTTTTTTCCTTAATAATATTGAATGGGACTTAAGATTATCGTGAAAATATTGCACAAACTTTGTCAATTAATTGTAGTTTGTTCTGTCATACTCAATTAATGAATGGGTTTTTATTTGACAAGAACACGGTTTTCCAGCACATGTTTTTGTTATAGGTACTATTACAATAAAGTTTTAGAATGTTCTAAACCCACAAATGTTTTGTACTTTTAATCTCAAACAGGCCTTACCTGAATATTATTAGGAGTTGCACTTTTTTTAACACTTATGTCAATTCCCACATAACGTATCCAAGAAAAATATATAGATAAATTTAATTTCATTCAGAGACTGTTGTATTTGCATTTAAAAAATGTATAGCTTCATTCAAAGGACTTATGAGTTAATTTATTTTGTTTAATAGTAATGAAAATGAACTGTACACATTGATTGAATAAAAAATTTATAACTTATAAGTTTGTATGTAATATATGTTAAATATTTTTCAAACCTAGTTTAAACTAAGAATAGTCAATAAGTCAATGAACGCCATTGTATTTTAGAACATACAAGTTGCATTCTTTCAACAGTTTCTGGTTATTTTTGTATTCAATTGCAATGTTGAAGTAAGAAATGAAAAATAAACTCTTTGAAGATTCTATAACGGAACATATAAAGTAAGCCTACAAATTTCAGAAAAAAATTGTTATTTATGAAAATAGACAGAATACTACTTTCCAACTAATCAAATGTATAAAAATACACCTTTTTACTAATTATCAAACACAAATAATAATCACTACTATCATCAATTGAATAGATGGTGGTTTATTCAACCTATTCCCAAATCAACAGTTTTAATTTAATGGTATAATTGTTATAACTTATACCATTCTTAGAATTCATCTTGGAGTTAATAAATAAAACATCAGCCATTTACAAAGCTCAATTTACAAGTACTCATATTTTAAACTGTACATGTCTAACAATACCTATCCACCTTTATAACCCTTGTTTGTTACAAGTGGTCTCACAAGATATTTTCTTAGTTTACTAAGTCCATATATTTATGCATTTTCAATATTTATTTACATCTGCTCTAAAAGAGGTTTTTCAGTTATAAAATTTTTATAATAGCACAGAAAATTGGACGTTAAAGTAGCCAAACCTTGTGCTCTGAGAAAAGTCGCCTAACCAGAAGTTGTTCCCTAGCTTCATTTCAATTTTTGTCGGTTAGGATTTTAAAAGAAGGTTTTTAAACAGTGTTAAAACTAATGATACAATTGACAAAATTTAAGAGTATAAAATTTATTAAAATTTTACGGAAAGTAAATAAAAGAAACGTCTTATAACACTTAAAACATATATTTACACTTATGTTACTCACAAGACCATTTTGCCATTTTGTAACAGGTGTGCGACATTTGATCTTTCCGGTTTGTTGATCCTCCACGAAGATATGTGGTTTTTGAAGCGGTTAACGAAGTTCACAGTCGTTACACAATCGTTACAATTGATTTTATAGATGCCCGAAGCGTCGAATTTGTTACAATCTTCTATTTTAGGATGCAGTATTTTACTCATGGCGTTCTGAGTCCTATAGGCTGTTGAAACGTATTTCATGAATCTGTTAGCAAGATTGTAACAGATTCTCAATTGTAACGATTGTGATAGTTTCTACATTGGACAGACTGTGAACTTCGTTAACCGCTTCAAAAACCACATATCTGCGTGGAGGAACAACAAACCGGAAAAATCAAATGTCGCTCAACACCTGTTACAAAATAGCCACTCAGTCTATGTATTTTAAAGAATTGTAGTAAGGATATGTAATGAATGCTTGGGAAGAATTGTATATTTATAAGGAAACATTTAAAAACAGAAATAAGCTGATTAATGAACAAGTAAATTTCTACTACAGTTGTACTTATAAAAAATGTATTGGCCGGTGCTTCCGGTAGCCAATAGGATATAATTAGGGACGCCATTCAAGATTCTTGTCATTCGCCTATTGGGTCTGATGATGATTGGAGTGTCCAATCGAAATCGATCACCACTTACCATCTTTTATGTATATTATCGTCTTGTGAGTAACAGTATAAGCGTAAATATATGTTTTGAGTGTTATAAGACGTTTCTTTTATTTACTTTCTGTAAATTTAATAACAAGTACAATGCTGATTAAGAAGTTATTTAAATTTTACTCAAGTAGACTCTCCTTCTTCATTTCAAGTACAAACCTTTGTCTGAACTAAGAAAAGTCAGATCCATCAGAAAATAATACATAAATTAAGTGGAAAAGTTTTTAAATCACTCATTTATGCGGTACTTCGTGTACTATACAATTTATGAGTAATCGGTAGTAAAATCTATACAAATCCAATCAGGGCTAATGGATGTGAATTGATTATTTGCGAGGGAATAGTCAACGTGCGTGAACTAAACACATATTTCCGTTTGAACCATCTGATCCAAACAAAAGGGTCTACTGTATTCACACTTTTTATCAATGAGCAATAGTTGTGAAGTTTCAGTCAAAATAATAGGTTTATGAATCTGTTACCTTCTTCACATTAAATTTGAACAATATTCATCCAAACAAAGTGCAAATCAAATACTTTTTTAAACAAAAAATTACTTAACAGTATACGTAATGAATATGTTAATTGAAAAATTCTTAAAGAAAGTTTTTCATCAAAATAACCTGTAAAGTGAATATACCAGTTTGAATTTTGCCAGTTTTACCTTAAAACGTTTGACACACCTCTAAACTGGGACCACAACTACCTGCTCAGTAAATGATTCTGAAGAATCAGCTGGCCTTATTTCGTAACAAAGCTAATGTAATATTCATTCTATAACTAACTTATCCTTCATTTACCTTATTTTTAAACTACATACCATAGTGTATAGGTATCGAGGTAATTATTTAGTGGTTTGTTGATCCTGTAGTGTTAAATATGTCATAAACAGTCAGGACGAAAATATCTAAAATGTAAAACATTCTTTCCCAAGAATTAAATCTTTAAGTGGATTTTTATCTTGATACATCCAAAAAGGTGACATATAGGTCATCTAAGGGGGTATGTAACCAGGTACCACATTTAAGTAAAGTAGGCCTACCTTACAATAAATTATTTTTTAAATTAGAATGTTTTTAAACAAATTAAAAGAGATCATATTAACTTGTATATATACAAAAGAAACAATACATTAGTTGAACAAATTTTTCTTAATATTAATCTGAATATAAATAGGTTGAAACCCTGTTGGCACATGTCTTTTGTGGGAAGACTATTCCACTTACTAGGCCATTTAACTGAAATTATGTCAGTCAGTGGTGTAATATGTGACGGGGCCCCCATTTTAGATCTTAGATGTAGGCCTAGATCAGAAGGAAAACTCATAAATTACAAAAAAACTTAGGATCATATTGATCACTCAATTGAAGGTTAAATTTACACCACTGATATCAGTTTATAGAAGCAGTTAACATTGAAAAAAAGTGCTATTCACACTAAGCATACATATTACAGACATATAAAAATAATATTTTAACTATTATAATACATCTCTACCAACTACAGTCACTTAAATTGTGTAAATTCAGTGCCACAGTACATCAGCTTTTAAAGCTTTCATTCACTTAATCAGTTGATATTACATATATGACATCTTTGAGTATGATTATGTGAAACATTAATAATTCTCTTTCATCACGTATTAATGTTAAAGTTATTTCATAAATATAGTTTTTTTTAAGAACATATGTAATAAAAATTGTCATATGACTTATACTAGCTGTATTATTTAACTTTTTAAAAATATAACTACTTATTAAACTATAAAATTAGTGTAATAAGAATTTACTCTCCATCAGCACAGCATGGAGCGTATTGATAATTTTTTTAGAATATTAAATTATGTTACTTTTAAGTTACATTTGATGAAACTATAACTAGTTTTGTTTTAATTAGAATGCGGTATTGTATTTTATAACTGAAATCTTGTATAATACCGTAGTTGTTTATGTATATTGTTGAAACTGTTTCATTCAAAAGATACTCTTTTTTCGATTAGTTAGGCCAAAATGTTTTGTTTCACAAACAATCACAAAACAATCATACTACAGTATGATTTCATCAAACTAACTTTTATCCATACATGGGAGGGTCCAGGGTGCATGGTATAGGGTCCAAAGTACTTTTGGGTGTTATTCCTGTATAAATTTGAACACAGGTGCGCTGATTGGAGAGTTGTAACTAATTGATGGTTCTAACCTCAAACAATTTACAACCTTTTTACCCAAACACCCTCTCATTTACCCTCATACACAAGGGTATAATACAATTAACCCTGTTTATTATTGTAATAAATACACTTATCTACATACAGAAAGACTATAATAATAATGTCTACATAGTACATAATAAAGGTACAAAATCAGACTATCAGACTTAGTTGGTCTTGCTCCCCTCTTTTCTCCCAAACTCGCTAGAGTGCTTCCGGTTGAATTTTAAAACAAAAAACAATACTTAAAAAAATAAACATAACTTATTAATATTATCTCCAAAGTATTAACCTGTGACAGTACAACATGATGCCTCAACAATTGGCTTGAGATTTTTTGATCAGAAACGGTGCTTAACAAGTCTTTCAATAAATTCTTGTGACATGGTCAAACATGATTTGAAACTTGTAAAAAAGTTATAAAAAATATTTTGCAAATAACATAAAAAGACCAGGAATTCTCTATTTTCCATTCATATTTTGGGAAGGTAGTTTAAACTATGCCCATGTTTAAAATAAAATTTAGTCCATCCACTGCACCTAACTATTGCCATGAACTCCAACAGGTTTAAAAACAAAATGTTTGTTTGGTATTACAACTGAAAATCGTGTGACAATTTTAAATCTTTCACACTCAAAGAAATATTTGGGTTGTTTTTGAAGCAAAATGTGATTAATTAGAATATAAAGGGGTGAATCAAAACTTTTAAAATTTGTTAAACATTTTACAAAGGTTTTTTTATAATTATTATTAGTTTTTTTGACTTCATATTTAGAAGTATATATCCTTTTGTACCTTATAAGACCGGTTAGTTTAAGGAACTCTTAACAGTAATTCAGAATAAACTCCTTACTTTCAATGGCAAATTCAAAATGCTTTAGAAGCTTAAACTGCTTTATAGCAGAATCTTAGTTTCTGACCTAGATAAGGTAAAGGGGTGTTGAATGAAACTGTCTTGGTACCAGCGAAATTCCTACAATCAATGAGCTTACAATATTTGTTTATTATAGATAAAAGTTAAAGAATTAATGTATTCTGGGTTTTAGGAGGAAAAATGTCTTTGTAGAGTTTTTTATACATCCAAATCTAATAAACTCTCCGGCTCCTATTAAATCTGAGCTATCTACTCTCTTCCAAACACTTGTGTTATTTTAGAAAATATTTATTACAGCCAAAATTAAACATTTGCCTCACAATGGAGCAAACTTTTCTGCACACTTCATATTAACCCACTGATTTTTTTTCTCGCTCAGTGTTATTTCTTAAATATATTTAATGTTTCAAAAAATAAGCTAACCTCAAGATTTAATCTAGTATTTAGCAAAGTTTATGGTGTCTCAATATTTTTTGGAACTATTAAAAACAAAAGTCAATATTTTTAATTTTAGTGAGATGATTATATGTTGGAATTTTCATACACATTAATCATATCTATTGTTAATTTACCATCATAAGGCTTTGAGTGGAGGATATTCTCCTCACATGAAGGGCATAATCCTTTTTTGTTTCGTAGATAGATGGACCTTTAAAGTGGATTCATTTGCTATAGGTGGGATTTTAACAGTGGACTTTGGGGCAGGAGTCCCATGTTCTTAACTAGACCAGCTTAACCCCATTAATATCTGTAACACAATTAAATTTGTATAGTATTAGTTGTTTTAAATTAATCAACGTGAGCAATAGTTGTGATTCACCCCATAATAAGAATTGGAAATTGCTGAGATAAAAATTATGCATGGTGTCGAGACTGTTTCGGCAAAACCTCAACAAACAAACTCAATTAGAGTGATTTATAATCTAGGCCTCTTGGAAGGCATTCCGTTCCCTCTGTGCAACAGCCTACTGTGCTCTTCTTCTACAACTTGCCGGATACGACCAGATGTCTGAGTCGAGCTGCTTGACTGACAGGTTCAGTAGGTGACTCTGAATCTGAGTAGTTGTTGTTTTGTGTTGTTGTTGCTAAAACGAAGGCATTGTCATCAGTAGGCGAGTGAGTGTGACTTTGGACATTATCCGCTTCCTCATCTTCTAGACTTGAATATGATGCTGTTGTCGCATCAGAATCTGTTGTTCTTTTCTCTTCTTCTTCCTCTTCTTCCTCCTCCCCTCCTTCCTGAAGCAACATTAATTTTTTAGTAACAAGATTTATTTTGACATTATTTATAGATAGTAAGAATGAGTGTATATTTTTGTATTCAATTAATTTTTTAAAGATATATTGTAACTACTTTTTACATTTGTTGGTCAACATATATCAATATTCTAATATAGGGTAAAATATGTGTAAACCCAATAAAAAAATACCTTCAAATGTTTGCAAATTTTTTAATGTTTAGTAAACAATAATTTACAATGACAATAAGAACAGACCACGACTTGTTGCCTACCTCAGCTGTTCTACTAAAATACAATGTTTCAGACTGCTCACTACCAGCATTGACTATTGGATACTAATGTAGACATCCCATCTATATGGACCAGCTGTCGCCAATTTTTTTATTATATAAGAACGTAGTTGTGTGAGCCAGTCACAGAATGTGCTAGTATCTAAAATTCTATTTTATACCTTATTTTTTGTTGCAGACCAGGTTAATGGGTCATAACACTTGCTATAGCTCAGTGAAAGTCATTCCCTAAGTTTGACTTGGTAAAAAGGTTTGTGTGTTCGGCAGAATTTAATTATTTAGATCAGCACAATCTGTAGGTGGCTCACATCAACTACGACGATTTCTGACAAAAAATCTGACTACAAATTTAACATGGGGATGGTACGTCTAGATGTATTAATAGTCAAAACTACCAGCTAATTAGCTAATTTGATTATTCAAAAAAAATATTATGTAATCTATACCTCATCATCTTCACTATCACTGTCCTCGGATTCGCTAGATTCTGGCTCAGAATCTGCGTTAGCTTGGTTTTCAACATCTGCCTCGGCCTCTGCAGAAGCTGAGAGAAAAAGAAAAAATTTAGTACCCAAACTAGAGTTGTAGAAATTGAGGTGCAAAAATACATCATACCAGGAAATATGACATTTTCCTTCTCTCGATACAATTCCTTTCCTTACCTACTTTGTACAGAAAATGTTTCTGTTTTTTAACTATAGAACGCAACCTAAGAAATTGAATTTTAAGAAATTTAATTTAAGAAATTTAATTTTCCTAAAATTAAGGAAAATTTTGTTATTATTGTTGCAAAATCATGGCTTAACCTATAGAACTGTATAGTTCTACGCGCTGTATAGCCTACGCTTATATGGAGCGAGCTGGTATAGTGGCAGAGTGTGAGGTTTTGGAGCCCGAGGTCCCAACAGGTTTAAATCGCGCCAATCACCAATGGATTTTATTAATGTAACAATGAAGCTTATGTAAACCAGGATCATACAGCTTATGTATGGAAAATACATTAAATGATTAAAACACTCAAGGAAATGCATTTAAAGAACCGGTCGACCTGTTAAATTTATGTACAATTAAAATGTATTGTCTCCATGTAGTGTGTATTGTATTTTACACTTTTATTTAAAATTCTTGACAAACTCCACATGAGGGATAGCAAAACATTTGTGACCTGAAGGTGCTCCTTTTTTAAAAGCACGAAACAGCTATAGTCGTTCATTGTACTACTATGGATTGTTTTGACCACAACCTGGTAATCTAAACCTATATTAGTTAATTCAGACGAACCAGAGGCCATTTTTTTCATAAAGTAACATGTATTCTTAGTTTAATGATACAGTGATAAAACTATACAGGGTGGCTGAAAAGTAACTTGCACCCCCGACCCTTAACTTTTCAACCATACTTGTTTTGAACTATAAATAACAATTAACATAAAGAAAATAGAAATTGGACCACTAATAACAAAATGATAGCTAAAAATGACTAACATTGGGTATTACAAGTCATTTTTAACTGCCATTTTGTTATTAGTGGTCCGATTTCTAGTTTCTTTATGTTAATTGTTTAGTTTAATCAATACCTGTAAAATGATACTAAACTCAACTATTCTTGCCATTTGAAATTTTTGAGCTATACCCTACCCCCACAACCCCTAAAGGCAAAGTCTTTTAAAATTTACCATCATTATTGTAGCACCTCATATCTATGAAGTTTGTCGCAAACCGATTTCAAATGTCTCAACAGTTTCAAAAGTTGAGGGGCAAGTTACTTTTCAGCCACCCTGTATACTAATTTACTATAATGTCAATTTTTCATTAGTTTGTTTCAACAAGTCCCAAAAAGCATGGTTATTATCATTACACAACATACTGCGAAACCTTTCTTACCTTGTATGATCTTTTCTAGAATGAGAGGATAAAACTCTTTAGCAGTTGCATGGTTGGGTTCATATTGAAGAACTGGAAAAGAATTTCCATTATAAAACATACGACTATACATATACACACATCACAAAAAACCTGCAGACTAAGCCTAGGAAAACAGGTTTATAATAAAAGAAAATATGTGCACATTCATCCAGACCTTATTTTAAATAACACTAGGTAATCTCAATGAGTACTTTTGTTTCTTCCACCAATACTCAAGTGTTATTTATTTGTTTTGGTCAAAAAATGCTACCGGAATACAGAAATAGGAAGCAATATCCTTAGGTTATATACAGCTACAAATTTACAAGGTGTACATCAAGATAAATTTGTGGAGCAATGAAATCGATTTTATGTCAAACAGACTAACTCCATAACTATTGTTGTCATCTTTGGCCGGTTTTACTGGATTGATTAAATCAAAAAGTTATACCAAACCATGAATATAGTATTTGATTTTTCCTATACCAACGTTGCTGCTCTTCTGCTATTATATCGAGTTATCAATGTATTGTTGTAAAACCAAACCATTAGTATTGTTTTTTATAATGGTTGATTTTGGAATAATAAGAATATTAGGTTTTAACTTGAATTAGTCCTGGACTATTGATTGGATTATGAATATCACTGCCGTGGTAAGCAAAAAGGCCGTATCAACATAAATGACGAATCTGAGAAAATGGATGTTTTGTCAAAGCCAGTCAGAGTCATGTTTTTTCGATTTCTAATTTAACCGGTTGACCGAATTCAATAATATTTTTTTTCAAACTACTTCTTTTTCAATGTAGGAGACTATGAATATATTTTTATTAATGCATAATGATACATTCATATTTTTTAATCCAGTTACCCTTTTTACTGTTAACGTTTTTTAGGCCAAAAAGCCGTATCTCAACTTACCTTTTTTTGACTTAGGAAAATGTCTTTTAAGAAACAAAATTATAACAATTCTACACGTATGTTAAATATAAAAATATTTATCAGTTATACCTTCGTTCCAAGTTCCATGTAAATAGTTTAATTCTAAGTACCTTTTTTAGGCGATTGACCCGGGTCAACAAAATAAAATGAGCTATTTTGGCCGGTTTTTAGTTAATGAAATAGATAAATATTTTTTAATCGTTACCAAATTTAACATACGTGTAGAATACATGTGGATATACCTTCTTTCCAAGTTTCATATATATAGTTTAATTCTAAGTACCTTTTATTTTGACCCGGGTCAACAAAATGAAATTAGCTTTTTACGGCAGTATTTTGTTAATAAAATAGGTAAATATTTTTTAATCGTTACCAAATTTAACATACATGTAAAATACATGTGCATATACCTTCGTTCCAAGTTTCATGTATATAGTTTAATTCTAAGTACTTTTTATTGGTGATTGACCTGGGTCAACAAAATGAAATAAGCTTTTTACGGCTGTTTTCTGTTAATAAAATAGGTAACTATTTTTTAATCGTTACCAAATGTTACATACGTGTAGAATACATGTAGATATCCCTTCTTTCCATGTTTCATGTATAAAGTATAATTCTAAGTACCTTTTATTGCTGATTGACCCGGGTCAACAAAATGAAATTAGCTTTTTATGGCAGTTTTTTGTTGATAAAATAGGTAAATATATTTTAATTGTTACCAAATTTAACATACGTGTAGAATACATGTGGATATATCTTCGTTCCAAGTTTCATGTCTATAGTTTAATTCTAAGTACTTTTTTTAGGCGATTGACCCGGGTCAACAAAATAAAATGAGCTATTTTGGCCGGTTTTTAGTTAATAAAATAGATAAATATTTTTTTATCGTTACCAAATTTTACATACCAGTAGAATACATGTGGATATACCTTTTTTTTTTTTTTTTAAAAAAAAGAGGTTGGCGGCCTCTTTTAACCTTGCATTTGCCCGTCCACATAGACTAAGCGCCCGTGCGTGGATCGTTAGCAGCAAAGCAAGGAGTGAGCCGGTACAGTACAAAGGTGAACTGTACTGATAAAATGTTATCGGCAGTGACCAGGATCCGAACCCACGACATCGCTGCCTTGGGCCCGAAGTCCGCGACGCTACCGACTGAGCCACCGACTCACTATAACCTTCCTATACCTACCTAATCACTATACCTTCGTTCTAAGTTTCATGTAAATTTCTACATTCAAAGTGGGTTTTTTCTAAATATATTGAATTTGTTGACCCGGGTCAACAAAATAGGGAGTCCCACTGAAAACAGCCTATTGTGATACTTTCCCTCCAAGTTGTTTTTTTGTAAAATTCATTTACCACCTAACAACAAGATATTCATGTGATGCATAGAGTATGTAAAACAGAAATTATAGGAAGGTTAACAAAATTTAATGTTTTGCTTTCCTATGCATTTTTATGGTAAAATTTTTAACCGTAAGTGGATTTGGGCGAGACTATACTAAGCCAAAAAACAGTAAGGCAGAAATACTATTCCAGAAAGCCGTAACTGTTTTTTGCTTACTGTTTTCTGGCCAAGTAAACCAACGTTACGGTGTTTTGACTTAGTATTTGCACATTTGTTGGTAGACAGGGGTGCCCAGAGGGGGGGTACTGTGGCGCGTTTGCGCCACAGGAATTTTTGGGGGGGACTTTTTTTAAGAGATTTTGGGGGGGATTTTTAATTTTTGCTAGCTGTCATAATGGCTGTATAATTTTGTACAAGCAGTCCGAAAAAGTGTTTCTCACTAAAAGTAGCTCACTATCAACACCATCAACATTTTGCCGTTCGTAACTAAGATTGCTTCTAAGAATGGTAAAGCACCTTGTCAGACAATCCTTAACATGCCAGTGTCGAATTTTACATGCTACATATGTTTTGTTGGTTCTTTAACTCCACCATAGTCAGGATTTAAAAAAGATCCCCTTCTGGAGGTGTCGTCAGAATACGTTACAAACATTTAACACAAAACACGAAACGATTACAGATAGGCCTATCAATTCACGCATGTACATTGTCGTCGGCAAGACTGGAAGTAAACTGAATCAGGTTCAGGTTATGATGGACCGATGACGTGGTCTCTGGATTGTCGTCTGCGTTTTCAACAGATGATATTGGACTATTGTAGTGACTGAGAAGAGTATTGAAAATATAATGGGTTTCATAATTAATTGAGTGTTTTCACTCAAAAATTTTGTGCTGTCCCCAATTTTATGTATTCATATATTTCAAACTCCTCAAAGTATTTAATAAATTTCCTTTCGTGCAGTACTGTAGAATTTCTAGACCATCATTTATATCCAGCATATAAATTGGTTATTATTGTCAATGGTTTTGAATGGAAAACTCAATTATGAATCCCATTATACTTTCAACATACTTTCCTCCGTCACTACAATTAGTCCAATATCAGCTTTTGATAACACAGACGACAATCCAGAGACCACGTCTTTCCGTCATAACCTGATTCAGTTTACTTCAGTTTAGTCCTGCTGACGGTAAAATACACGCGTGAATTGATAGGCCTATCTGTAATCGTTTCGTGTTTTGTGTACAAACGGATTATCTGACAAGATGCGTTCCTACCATTTTAGTCATTAAAGGCAATCCTGGGGCTATAAAAATGAATTATAAGATTACTTTGTCACAAAAACCTTTTGTTCTGGTGGCATGGTATTTTGCCCGGCGATTTTTGTAGAAGGCAGCCTGGATGTGGCGAGCAACAAGTCTGACTTATTTCGTGACTCTGCCTATAATTTTTAAACAATTAAGATACTTTATGCCAAAGTATTATTAATACACTTAAAGCTGTTTGATTTCTTAAGCCCTCTAAACATTAACGCCACCTAATATATTGTAGAGTTACAGTACTGGTTTGGAGTAGAGTAATTCACCGAGTATATTGTTGAACGTGTTGAAGACGTTGTCTATAGCAATACTGAGCACATGTTGGCTGACGATACAAATTCGGAATTTTGTAAATTGAAAAACTTCTAATTCAACGATTAGTTAGATATGTATTGTTAAATGACGTTTCCTATTAAACATTTAATTTTGATTCTCAATCAGCAAGTTTGTTTTTTGTACTGTACTTCGAGTTTACTAAATACTTTAAATACTCGTTTTATGAGGTAAAGGGAAAATTGTCAGATAAATTGGTGGGGGGAGGGTAGGTTTAAATAAACGACAACATAAATTGGGGAGGGGAACTACTCATTTGGCTTGGGGGGGGGGGATTGCGCCTCTGGGTTTAGGGGGGATGGGCACCTCTGTTGGTAGATACGGTAAATAACTAGTTTGATATCTCAAAAACGGCTTGAGATACGGTGTTTTCGCCTACATTTTTGGATTCCTCGACCTTCAAAACATAAAGATTTGCACTTACCTCAAAATGTGATATTTTTGTAGTTACTGCCTTTTAGCTTACGAGGGCAGATCAATGATATTATGATGTATACTTTTGACAAAGGTATGTTCTTAGTACACTACACTTACAGTATCCTAAATTAACCTTACAATACTGTATTGTTGAAGTCTACTTACTCATCTTGCAGTATTTTAGGGCAGAATCATAGTCCTTCAACATCACGGCAGATAGAAACTGAAACGTTCAATAGACATTCATTGAGTTGATTTTGAAAATAACTTTGAAGATAATTTTCTAGAGAAATATTATTCTATAAAATACGGTTGAATCTTAAGATTTTTGTACTCCCGCCACTGGTTAGCAGAACAATAAAATTTGTATAGTTTTTATCTGATTTATATTTCACACTATTATTATGTTGACAAAATATATATTTTTAGTTGGAGGTAAAGTCTCCTAACTAAAGACGCCAAACCATGTGTCAATGCATCATGTAACTAAATGTATTATGACTTTGAAATAAAAAGACTCTGCAATCATAATGGATTTGTTGTTTAAAAAATTATTGTGGAAATTGTTCTTCACGATTTGTAAGAAACAAAGTTTTCACAACATTTTAAGATCAGGAATCTGATCCCGTTCTTGGTGAGTAAGTACCAAAGGTACCTTAAGTTACTGATCGTGATCACAGAGAAGTAAAGGCACAGAGGAAACACTCAATGGTCCACTTAAGTTGTGTCTAGCACTAGTGCTGATGTCTAGGGTTATGTCCAACACCACCACCCTCGCCCTCATGTACTACAGCGCTCACGGTGGTGGAAGACCGTGTGCCCTGTGCGATAGGAATTGCACAGTGCTCGCTGCTTGGGCTCTTCCTTGCTCTTCACAAAAATATTTACAGCATACTAGAGATGAAATTGCACTGTCCTATAAGTGTTTTTCTTTTGTACCTTATAGAAACTGTCCACAATAATCACTTAAACAGCATGAACTGACTCCCAAAATTAACTTCAAACAAAGAATGAATTTTTATGAGTGAGTATCTTTTGCATTTTTTCTAAATATACAGCAGATTGATTCAATTCATTCACACGCACCTCAGCCAAGATCTCAGTAGGAGCAGATATACTCTCATCAGCATCTGTATAATCACTCAGGTCCTCGGCACTACTGGACAATGCCTTGTCTGGAACATTGCCGTTACATTCCATCCTGTAGGAATTAATAAACATTAACTAATTAATTAATTTATCATTTGAATTTATTATTTGTTTGGACACAGGATGAAAAAATCAGATATGCAATTTTTTGTGTGTTCCCCCTAGTGTAGGTGAGTTTACGCAGGCAATATCGTCTGCAACAGTGTGACAATTACCGAACCAATAATATGATAGATAAATAAGCACTGGTGCGCACCACAACAAATGTCATATCTCTGTTATTATTTATTAGATTTTCGATTTTCAATGTTGACAAGTCAAACCTTACAATTTCCAATAAGAAGTATTCTTGTGTTTTTTAATAAGATTCACGGTACGTTTTAAAGCAATTCCTGTTCAAAAGTTGAAATGGCCAACATTTTGAAATTTTAAACTGTTAAAATTTTGATATTTTTAGTTTTTTTTTTTGTTAGTGACATTAGTATTAAGATTCATGACAAATTTCAAAGTTCTAGGTATCAAGGTTTATTAAGGAAAAAACAATTTAGGCCTATGAAAAATACAGTACCCCTGCCGCAGCAAACCTGCCGACTAAGCAAATTTTCATTTGTCTGAATTGATTTTCAATTATATTTATAAATAACATTAGGTTTATCGAGTACCTAGGTTTGCTGCTACAAGGAAACTAATAAAGTGTGTTTTTTAGTAAAATATTAATAGCTTGTTATAAAATAAATAAATTTGCCAAGTTTGATCAAAATATAATGTCCATAAACAAACAATCTACAACATCTACCAAATAACGGTACAAAAACACTCTGATATACTAAATTATTTGGTTTTTAAGGTCTTCAAAAAGGTCTAGAGAAAAATTGGGAAATTTTGCGTTTTGAGGGTCAAAAATTAGAAAAACCCATTTCTATATCCCATAAACCCCCCCCCCCGTTAAACCCCGTTCCCATGGTCTGATCATGCTGTTTTGCGAACTCATTCAAGTGTATCCCTCCTTACACCTTTAAAGCTAATTTCATCAAAATCGGACAAAAATTTTCAAGTGATCGCAACTTAAGTTCACGGACGTATATACAGGGTGACCATTAAGTTTTAGGACGACTTTATAACTTTTAAACGACAAACGATATCACAACCACATTTGGTATACCGTTACTGGAAATTGTAAGCTACTTTTCTGTGTACATGGTGGTCGGATATAACCTTTGGGGAACGGCCCGTCGGGGGTCAGAAGAAAATCTTTAATTACAGCCTATGTTGAGTTGTACATCATTTTAAAGTTCTACTTCAACTGAAAACAATGCCGCAAACCGGACTTCAAAAGGTTGATCCAGTCAGAAAAATCGTGTTTCAAAGTTTAAAAAATGTTTAATACCATTATTACTGTAGCTAATAGAAGTTAAGGGTAATACTTACAGAAAGTCTTTTAAAGTAGGTGTTCAAAATGTCCACCATCGGTCGTCTGGAAATATGCTAACCGGTTATAAAAGGCGGCTACTGCATTTTGTACTTTAAAAGACTTTCTGTAAGTATTACCCTTAACTTCTATTAGCTACAGTAATAATGGTATTAAACATTTTTTAAACCTTGAAACGCGATTTCTTCCGACTGGATCAACCTTTTGAAGTCCGGTTTGCGGCATTGTTTTCAGTTGAAGTAGACCTTTAAAATGATGTACAACTCAACATAGGCTGTCATTAAAGATTTTCTTCTGACCCCCGACAGGCCGTTCCCCAAAGGTTATATCCGACCACCATGTACACAGAAAAGTAGCTTACAATTTCCAGTAACGGTATACCAAATGTGATTGTGATATCGTTTGTCGTTTAAAAGTTATAAAGTCGTCCTAAGACTTAATGGTCACCCTGTATATATACATATATAAAAATTTGAAGGAATCGTGTTTTTGGCCTCTGGGGACATCAAAATGAAAAAGTAAATCGGTCCCGGGCCTAGGTCTTACCGTGCCACCTTCGGTAATAGCTACTTCCCTATAGGGAAATTCGCTAAAATGACGGCTTATTTAATTGTGAATACCGGTAACCATTGACTTAGACAATTAAAATGTTAAATTTTGTATGAACGCAGAAATAATACCTTAAAAGTTGGTAGAGAGTTACGACACACCCTGTATGAAAATAATATATTTAAGCTCCCATTGCTATAGCTATGATTTACAGCTAAGGTTTATACAGCTAATTCTAAAATGTATTTGCGATGTTTTCAAAACCTATCCAAAAGGATTACCTATATATTAAGATATGATTAGGAAATTAATTTTAACACCAACATTTCATAAATTTTAAATATTTTAAAGCTTTCCATTAACCATATTTATTGATAATAATTCAAAATGAACAAATTTTTAAAAACTTGTAATTTTTATCAATAACTACACATTTTTTACACCTTTAGGAAATATGTTTGTAATTTGTAATAATCATGTTAGTTGGACCACAGAAAACATAGTAGTACCTATGTTTTCTGTGGTTGGACACTTTCAAAATATATTGCACACTATTTTGACATTTTATAACTTAGAAGAAACAAGGTACAAAAGTTATCCTAATTTAACCTCACTCATACCTTAATTAATGTTTGCTAGGGCACTTTGCTTTCTTTAAGAACCTGTGTATTTTTCATGCCATGATAACACTCTTGGTTATTATCTGTAACAAAGACAAATGTATTTAAAGAAAAATGTATCTTTCGTGGTGAAAATATGAAATGTTAGACCAGCAACAATTATAAATGTACTGTAGATCGGAGTTTGATCCATTTCCTATTGTAGTTATAGACGTTTTTGACCCTTATTTGGGATAAAAGTTAGTCTCAATAACCCTGAAACCTGAGCATGTAGGGAACAATCTGTTTCCTTTGATCTTTGTTTCTAAGACCATCGAAATAATGGTATAATTCAGTTATGGTGATTGTAGGTTAGGAACTAGCTAATTAGTGGTAGAGTGTGTTATTTCAATACGAGGTCCCATGTTCATCAAATCCCGCCAATCGCCAATGGATTTTATATTATTGATAGTAGTACCGCAACTCCTAGGTCTAGTATGAAGTAAAGTGAAAACCAATACCAGACTAGAGCAAAAAAAAAAAGAAAGTACCGGTATAATAGTTGATTGTCAAAATAACTCGATTTTAAGGTAGCAACATAACCGAAAATTGCAAACAGTCTCCAATCTCCTAAAAGGCCTCCTACACACCAGGCTACCTCGACAAAGCCTGGCTATGGACCACTCGACCACTGCACTCTCAGCTACTGTACTTCCACTTCACGACTTTGGTGGCGTGACCGAGACCGTGACTTTGGTGGCGGGACCACTACTTTGGTGGCGTGACCGTGACCGTGACTTTGGTGGCATGACCGTAACTTTGGTGGCGTGACCATGCCTTTGGTGGCATGACCGTAACTTTGGTGGCATAACCGTAACTTTGGTGGCGTGACCATGACTTTGGTGGCATGACCGTAACTTTGGTGGCATAGCCATGACTTTGGTGGCGTCATTAGAAACGTAGTTAGGCCATCGATGGTTGGGCCAGAGCTCTCTCGATCGCCGCTGTCACTGGCCCCGGCACCAGCAGTGGAACAGTGTATACCCATAGTCATAACATTACACACTTGCACTTGCGATGCATAATCAAACAGGAATAGTTTTAGTTCAATAATATTATAATTACTTACAGATTTAATATCAAGTTAATAATAACTTTGTACCCGAGGAATAGGTTACATACTCAATTCCAGATTTTGTTATTGCCTTTAATTCCATAACTTTTCAAAAAAGTATTTAAAAATGGGACATACGCAGTATTTTGTAAATCCTAGCTCTATATAGAAATAGCTCGATATCTGAGCTCTATATAGAAAATAAATTCATATATTTTTTCGTCATAGTCTTTGTCCTTGACAACCTTATCCTATTATTTATTGTGTGTTGAGAATGGAATTCTTTGTCGTATTTTAAATGCAGGGCCTTAAATGGCGACTCGTTGGTAACAAGCCTACTATTATTTATTTTATGTTTGGTACCAATCACTTTGACTCACCCCTCTGATCCACTGACGACTTGGTAAAATAATTAGAAGTAATCATTTAGTAGTTTTGTGTATTCACTAATTTTAACATCTGGACCATGTAGATGCTACATTTACAGCGATCTTATTTATTGTATACTGTACATCGAAATAAACATATTCGTAATTAAAGTGTATGCGAATTACCTCGAATAAGGTACTTACAAATATTTTAAAATTTGCCTTTAGAAACAAAATTTACATCTTCCTTTAATACCTAAGAACAGTTTATATAAAATACGTATACAGTGTGTGAATCGAGATAATTAGCCGGATAGGTACAAGTCTTTGTAAACCTAAGTGATTAATTTAAAATGGTTTTACCTTTGTTGATTCAATAATTTTCTATATGTTATTACGTTTCTGTTTGGAAATAAATAAGATCGGCATCAAACTCAACTGTTGCTTGTTCACAAAAAAAGCAATATTTAGATTTATGGTACAATAAGGGATGTATTATTTCCTCGAGTTGTGCAAATGTCATATACTAACCAAGCAGATCGGTGTATTATTATCTTACCTGTAATACTCGTATATTTTAGCCAAGTGCGACGTTTAGCTCAACGGGGGTTGCCACTGCTTCCACTGTAGAATCAATACTAAACAGAGGACTAGAGGAGCGAGGGATGGTTTTGTGTTATACCCCTCCAATTTCCCCGACGGGGAAAAATTCCCTGCGACGGCTAGAAATTACCCTTTTTGTCGAGCTAGAATGATTTGAATACTATTTTTAAACTTAATGTATGATTGGATTATTTTGGGATTGTGATTACTTACTTACTTAGTATTTTTGGATTATGACGGTGTTTTAATTGTCGTTTTGGTGGAGCTAGAATGTGTTGAATCGAAACACATTCAATATATTGATGAGTCACGGATAAACTGAAACGAAATAAATCAAAAACATAAACCAATTACTTGACTGGCTCGAATCCCGAATCTTGATAATCCTAACGCATGGTATTGTTTAATATTGCCTGTCAAATGATATTGTACCAGTTTTGATAGTAAAATTTGTTTATGTTTTATGGGCTTGTGGCGTAATATGTTTAGGTTTATGGTCTTTACCCTGTTTTAATATCCGTGGGAAGAGTACTATATGGTTATTTATAGATTGTCAATGACGTTGTGTTAAGCATTTTGGTATGATATAATTCCAGAAATAATGAAAATACTGTAACATAAAAATCCTAACCCAACTTTACTTAACTTGCATTCAAGTGTATTGAATTGCCGTTAATTTAGGGTTTGGATTAGCAAGATTTATAAATTGGGTACCTAAGATGTGGGTTATTTTTATTTCTAAACTTTAGTGCATGGTATACTTTCTTGTCACCATAACCATTTTGCGTAGGTAAAAATTTTAGATTCCATTGGAGGTACAGAACGGGGTTAGACCCTGATTCTTTGAACGAAATGTAATATTTTTGATCAGTTTTAACAATACCAATACTACAATAGCCAAGGTTAAGTTAGACTAAGGAAAATTATCATTACTAGATTTTAGGTTAATGTGGGTCAATAAAATAAGATTTAACTAGTCTGCGTGTAGCAAGTAGATAAGTTAAGGGTGTTTTACCAACGTATCGCGCCGTGACTAAGCGAGCGATCGCCAAACTGATAAGGGTGTCTCTCTGTACTGAGACTATCAAGGACTATGCTTACTTAGTCTGAAACACGCAAATCAGCAAGCAAAGTTCCCAGCTCGAATCACAACAACCTCTAGCTTCGTGTAAATGTCTTCAGCTTTCTGCGATCTCCTTAAGTCGAGGGTTCTCAATCCATAGGAGTTAATCCAATCCCTGGTTTGTCAAAGACGATCCCGGGATACTATTATTTTAGGATTTTCACTTTTTAGCCACTACACTTAATTTTACTTTTAGTTACAACTATAATTATACACATCATATTTTAAACACATAATATACCGTACCCAAACTCTACCTTAGTTGTTTTGCTTTAATATTACTACTCTGATATTTAAGTTTAAAAACATTAAATGGCCGTCATTTTGAAACTAAACATTGAAACAAAATAATATTTCTTTTCAAAATATAGGTCTTTGTGTTGTGTTATTACATATATGTGCCAAATTTCAATCCACAAAAAATTCGTTAACAAATAAAAACTAGTTTTGTGAACAAACAAAATGGCGGCTGTAAGGGTAACCTTTAAATTTTGGAAATTTTCAACGTGATATTTCAGTTTGATACTTTCGAAGGTCAGTAGAGAGTTCGGGGACACTCTGCATATACGTAATATCGTACTGTACCTCTATAAATAACTCTGTTTCCTACAAATAATTTATACTTATTGATTCTAGTTGGACTGATACTTTTGATGATTTCGTGATACCGTAGATACATCTCTGTATAGTACTTATAAGTCTCGGGTAAACCATGTTTATTCTAATTTTATGACCTAGCTAATGAAACTTTTATTGTTAATCCTAACTTAATAGATTATTTGATTTGTACCCCCGGTGCCGTCAAGCATTTTATAGCGCTTTGTCCTCTTAATACCTCATCCCAACGATCCCAACAAACACAATGCAATATACTGTATTTTTTTGGATTTTCAAAATAATTTCGAGTGGATACTATTTATAAGATTCTCTAAATTTAACGGTGTTGTTAGTTAGTATAATATTGTTTTCCTACATGTTCTCTCACTGATTTGAGAAAGCAAAGTGGTCAATTCGCTTGTCTCACTCCAGATTTGCAACGCGAAGGCACGAAATAGTGAGCGCGTAAATGCAGACAAGGTCGTATGCGCGCGAATACGTTGGCAGCACTGGCTGTAAATCAGCTGGTCAGCTGTTGTACTGTTGTATCATTAAATGTCATATTAAAAGTTCACTTCCTTGTTAAAATATGTTACGTTTCTTTCCCAATTTATTTGTTTTATTGTAACTGTAGGAAAAATATAATGTGCAACTCGAGTGCAACGTGCAATTGGCTCACTCGAGAAACCATTCCCGTGAGGAAGTATTTCTCTCGAATGAGTCAATTGCTCCCTTTGCTCACTAGTTGCGAAATAGTTATTTGTGCAACTAGTGAGCAAAGTGAGCAATTGACTCACTCGAGAGAAATACTTACTCACGAGCCGCAGGCGAGTGAGGAATGGTTTCTCGAGTGAGACAATTGCACTTTGCACTCGAGTTGTACATTATATTTTTCCTACAGATACCATAAAACAAATAAATTTGGTAAAGAAAAGTAACATAATTTAACCCAGAAATGAACTTTTAATATGACATTTCATGATACAACAATACAACAGCTGACCAGCTGATTTACAGCCAGTGCTGCCCCAACGTATTTCGCTCGCATACGACCTTGTCTGCATGATACGCGCTCACTATTTCGTGCCTTCACGTTGCAAATCTGGAGTGAGACAAAGTAATTAGAGTGAGACAATGTTAACATTGTCTCACTGGTGAGCGAATTGGCCACTTGTGTGAATGTTGACAAAAATATTTCACTCTAATTTTAGGCCGTATACAGTAGGCTATACGATTTGCGCTATATCATAATACTAAAAAATATTACCAGAAAACATGCAATCATTTTCGGCACGTTCTGCTTCAGTAACTTTGCGTATGCCTCATCATAGAACGGCAGTTTATGACAGAGCGTTTGTTGTTTCTGCTTGTCGCCTTTGGAATGATCTCCCTCTAGCCATAAAAACCCTTGATAGCCGTCCCCGGTTTGTGACAGCACTAAAAACTCTGTTTTCTGGACGTATGGCCATGGTTGGTATGTCCTAGGCGTGCGCTTGGTTGATCACTGACAGGTGTGCGTGTGTGTGTGCTAGTTCTCTGCGAGTGTGTGTTGTTTGTTTGCGTGTGCTTGTGTAGGTGTGTGTGTGTGTGTGTGTGTAGGTGTTTCTGTAAGGTGGTATGTTTTAAAAGTTTATTGTTTCTTTTTACATTAAATATTGTAAATAGATTATAGTATTTTATTTGTATTGTACATTGTTTTGTTTTATTTGTATGTTTAGATTTGTATAAACAGGTTAAGTGTAAGAGAGGGCAATGTGGCCCTAACTTTGCCTGACTAAATAAATCATTTTTAATTTCATTTCATTTCATTTTGCTCATCCATAAGGATTACATTATAAAATAGTCTATGGTGTAAGTAAGCCTATGTCTAGATATAATTCATTAATGTTTCATAAATGTCAGCCCACTATATGAACCATAATAAACCATATTAAGAGAGAAATTGTTTTTGATAAGGAGATTTGCAAGCATAAAGAACAAAAAATAGTGTACATTAGGTACGGTACTCTTATGATGAAATATTATTATATTGATCATATAAAGTTGTCTTAAGATTGTTATGTTATAGATTAATGCGATTTAATAATTTTTTAAGTTAATTTTTATGTTATAGACCAACATTTACCACTAATAAATTAATTATGAGGTGGAGGGAGGGTGGCGGTGACAGCCCGGTGTGCTAGGGCGCATGCGCGTATTCGGCTATGCGAGCTACGTAGCTAGCCGGCGTAGCAGCAGCGCCGTAGCTTCCGTAGCTCACGTATTAATACGCCAGTGTGAACACCCTCTATGAATATGAATTACATTAAGAGCTACGTCAGCTACGTATTTCGAAAAAGTATTAATACGTCTGGCTACGCCGGTGTGAACAGTCCTTTTACCTTAGCTTTCGTTAAGATGAAAGATGGAAGATTGGTGGATTAGCTAGACTCAAAAAAACTTGGCCTATATTAGTTGAAAAAATAAGTTAGAATTTAAAACTCGCACAATAATGTTCAAGAAACCACAACAGTACGGTAGGTCGGATGCCTTTAACTATACTAAGACAGTTTACTCAAATGGATGGAGCATTTAGAGAAAATCGGAAATTAATTACAGAGCACTATCACTATTATAGACACCATCTAACATGGATGTGTGGTCACATGGCGCCCCAACAATAACAATGAATAGTAGTTCCCTGTGGCCCCTCTCAATCTGAAGATCCACAGATCAAATAAAATATTATGGACATTTTAAACAGAGAAAACTGTCTGTGTACATCAGATCCGATTCAAAAAGCCACATGACCATTTGTTTGAATCATATTATACATATAACTTTCTTTATATTTTACATCAATAAGAATTTTATACAGATTTTAATAATTTTTAAACTTTCATTGTTCTTATACTATTTAAATGCTCCAAGTAACAATAAAATCTGCAATTAACTTCATTTTGTTATGTTAATGTTTGTTTGTTTGTTTAAATTAGTGTGGTTCTATAAAAAAATACATAGCCTAGTTTGAAAATCCATCGGTCTTAGTTTAGTTTATTTTGTGTATCTTGAATGTTATTTCTTATTTTTCTTTTATGCATAAGGTATGTGAACATGTCGTTGTATTGATTGTATGTGTTTCAGTAATCTGTATACAGATGCTCAGAAGAAGAAATTTGATATATTAAAAATACATAACACATTTATTTAAATGAATATATTCTTATGAAAAAAAGTATGTCACATGTAATTACATACAACCACTACTGACAGAAAATCCAAGGTCAACCTTGTCAGTCGCTGCCAGAAATAGTAAAAGGTTTGCAAATTAAAAAGCCAAATAACTTGATACAGTAATAATATTTATATCACATGAAATACTTTTAACAATATAGTACACCTATATAAACAATAATGGTTCACATTCATACTAAACATACATTCAACTGACTATAGTTGGATAATGATGGTTATAAAATAGCTATGCTTCCAGAAACTTAACAATTTATCCTGAGTCGGTTGAGTTGCCTCATTTTTCCCAAACAAGAGGTGATCACTCCACAGTCCTAAAACAAATAAATATAATAAGATTGAATATTGATTTGTCAAGAAATTATCACTCCACAGTTCTAAAATAAATAAAACATCCAAAGAGTGAATCATGGTTATTAGGGAGATGATCACTCAAAAAGGATCATAGGAGCAAATATTGTTCAATCCAGAGGTGGTCATTCTGCAGTTTTCAAACATCATATGAGCATAAATCTATCAAAAACTTAAAACTATAGATCAAGGCAATGTCTTACTTTCATCATTTTTTATTTGATTTTTTACAAGGGTTGTCTGTAAACTGAGGTCTCCAAGGAGCTCCTGACGCAGCCAAGCAAGCTAGTTCACATCTGAGACCAAAATAAAGTTTTTTTCTTACTTCATCCACTATTATTGTATCTGGTACCAGCTCCTATGGGACGATTGGTCTGGCCATAGTATAAGAAAAAGTGAAAGAAGAAAATTAGGGCTCCCACCATTTATAAATCACGATATGTGAGTACATTTTTGAGATCACAGTCGCAAACCGCTATTGAAATCCATCGGACGTGGGGGGTTGTGAATGGATGGCAGTGTTTGGACGAAGAAAATGTGTGGAAGAGGTGGATGGAGTTTGGAGGCGGTCTTTGCACAGTATTTTCCATGATGTAGGTTGACTGCTGCTGTTCTTAAGTCTCATTTGACCAAAGAATAGGGGGTAAAGATAGGAGCACCTGACACCAGAGGATGCCGGGTGCGAGAAAAAGAAGACGAGGACTAAAGAGGGAGAGGGATTGGGTGTTTCACAGACAGCACTGGCACCCACCTATTTGGAGACACTGTCGGTGGAGAAGATAGCTATCGTCAGATCAGAACACCCGGACAGGAAGCTGACGGAGGCTGAAGCCAACAAAATCAAGAGGGAGCTATCCAGGCGGGCCATTCGTGGCAAAGACGTAAGGATAAGCATCTACCATCTTGAAGGCGGAGCCTTGGTGGTTGGCTGTGCTAACGCAGCCACAAAGGATTGGCTGGTCAAGCAAGTTCAGGACCTGAGTCCCTTCGAGGGAATCTCACTACAGCTTGCCTCAGCCAGAGACCTTGTGAAAGCTGTGAAGGTATCAGCGTTTGTCCCCACCTCAACGGGGGCAATAACCAAGAAGGACGTGATGCAGGGCCTCAAGCTGCAGAATGACCTAGACACGGACCACTGGGGAGTTGTTGGGGGGAAACTCAAACCCTGGTGGACAATTCCTGGTCATGATAATTGACGAAAACTCCCTGCAGAAGCTGAAGTCTCTTGCGATGGGCCTATTCTTGGGCTGCGTGCGGGTTACCTTCAGGCTGCATGGGAGCAAGATCCCCACAAGTAGAGGATGGTTGCGGTGCTCCAGATATATCTCCAGCACAGCAGGGCGGCTACGGCTAAGCTTTGCCAGAATATCTTTGCTGACCGCATAGGTGTGGCTCTGATCCAGGAGCCATGTACCGCAGGAGGCAGAATCATGGGGATGGGCACCACAAAGGGTGAGTTGATATATGATACTGACAGTGACAAACCTAGAGCTTGCATTTTTGTCAGTAGAAATATTAAGACACATGAAAGTCACTAATCTCTGTTCTACGGATTGTGCCGTGACGGAGGTATACGGGCAGATGGTTGACGGTGATGTCAGAATCCTACTTTCTTCAGTATACCTGTCGTATGACTCCCAGGAACCATCACCGACCAGAGAAATGAGGATGGTAGTAGAATATGGAGCCAGAGAAAGGAGACACCTGTTGTGCGACGCCAAAGCCCATTACGACGCTAAAGCCCATTACGTGGCCTGAGGGAGCAGCAATGTCAATGAGAGAGGTGAGAGCTTGTTAAGTTTTATAGCTGAATCTAATTTAGTTATATTGAACAAGGGATCCGAACCAACCTATAGATAGAGGAGAGGGGTGGTACTAAGGGAAGAGGTTTTGTATATAACTTTGGCTAGAAATTATGCGGCGACAAAGGTTGTAAAATGGGGGGTATCTGATGACCACTCAGCGTCGGATCACATTGAATTTACTTTAGGCTCAATCTGTACAAAAGAGACCTACAGGAACGTGAGAAGTACAGACTGGAACTCGTATCGAGAGGTGCTAGGGGACAGACTAAGCCAAATAAAAGACCCAGAAGGGCATGGGGTGGAGAGTATGGCAAATTCTTTGAATACAGCCATATTAATATCATACCAAGAAGCCTGCCCGGAGACTGTAAAGAACATGCACAGGCAAGCCTGCTCGTGGAATAGTGGGTTATAGGCCCTGAGGAGGAAGGTTTGCAGACTGTATAATGTAGCAAAGCGTACAGGAAACTGGAATAACTACTCAATGATGCTCATTGTCTATAATAAGACAATTAGAAGAGCTAAGAAAGAGTCATGGAGAGAATTCTGTCAGAACATTGAAAGTGTTTCTGAATTTGCAAAACTTCATCGAATCTTAGCTCGAGCCAGGCCAATCCTTTAGGAGGATGGCACATATACGAATTGCCCAGAAGTGCTGGAGAGCCTTTTGAGCACTCACTTCCCAGGATCCTTGCAACCGCAGAACACAGTCCAAGATGAGATGGAAAGAGAGACTAGGGTGCGGACGAAAAGGGAAGATTGGGTTTGCGCTAGGGCTGTGATCACCTTTAAAATGGGCTCTTATGGCATTTCAACCATTTAAAGCTCCTGGTACTGATGACATCTATCTTGTGTTCTTACAGGAGGGTGGGGACCAGTTGATACTCCCCTTGGTGCGTCTTTTCAGGACCAGCTTAGCCAGTGGAATAACCAGCATGGAGGACCTTAAGGGTGGTATTCATGCCGAAGCCTGGAAGAGACACATATTCTGTGCCTAAGGCTTTTAGACCTATCAGCCTTACATCGTTTCTCCTGAAGACCATGGAGAAATTAGTGGATAGACGAATAAAGTATAGGGTCCTTGTAAGCTGTCCTTTGCACCCAAACCAACATGCCTATCAGAAGAGAAAGTCATGCAAAACAGCCCTGCATGCCCTGGTTTGCAAGATCTCGAACAAGGAAATAGCGTTGGCTGCATTTCTTGATATAGAAGGAGCTTTTATAACACTAGTACTCGCTCTTTTGTATCAAAGCTGGTATCAAGAAATGTGGAAAGCACTGTTGTGAAGTGGTTAGGCAACATGCTCGAAAGTAGGAGAGCGCAAGCACAACGAGAGAGTTTATCAAACTAATAGGGGAAGTCTCTTTCAGACTGTCGAGGACTACGTCAGTTCTGGAAGTCTGAAACACAACAGTCTCAATAAACTAATAAACAATCGCTGCCGGCTCCATTGAGCAAATATGTACAGGCTTTCACGCACTCTCCAAGCCACATGTTCTACGTCAAACCACTATTCTACAAACAGATCTGTCAACTGGCAACAGTAATTTTCAGGGATTCCCTTCCTACAGAAACAACCACAAAACCCAATTCTTACTTGGCAGAAGCGTCATTTTTCTTTCACAACGTTTTTTAATACTATGACCAGACAAAACTTCCCATATCGGTAGGAAACAGCTAGAAGAGTAGTGAAAGAAACAAGGAACACATCGTTAGTTTCAGGTTGAACTAGCTTTTATTTCGTTTGGCTGTGAGGGAGCTTGATTTATGACAGCCCTCTTAGATTCAAAGGAGGTTTTGTCGAGTTTCTGTGTGTAAGAACCACTACCTTAATATATATGGCCAATTAGCAATACATTTTGGCAAACTCTGAAACTATAAAATAACAGCAGAAACCTAATAAATATTTTTATTGGTTATTGGTCAGATTTAAAGGCCTTAAGCCTGTCAACATATTTCGTGAACGTGAACCCTTTCTCTAAAAAAACAAACCAAATACCTGTTTCATCTACGAGTTCCAGAAGCTTTTCCCCGTTTGCTTATATGAGGATCGAGGATCACCATATTAGCATCTGCTTTGTCCCGGTTTGTTTGAGAACAAAAAAATCCTACTCCATGTTCCAAGTGTTATAGTCCAGAATAATATGTGGCAGTGTTATGACACTTACAGGCTGCTGTTTGTGATTACAAGAATTTAGAGATGATCCACAAAATGTGTTACCCAGATAAATTAATATCTTGAGCAATGTGCAAGTAGCCTGGAAGTGTTTTTAAAACAATAGATTGTACTAACTTACAAGAGGATGTAATACGTAATTAAAGATAGCTAACATAAGTTTATTTGGTCTAGGGTTTGTTTGTTAAGATGTGTTAGTGAATGGGTCCCATGGTGGGATCTAGTGGCTGCTAGCTCATGACTCTCAGACCCCCCCCCCTCCCACAACAATTAAAATACAATTACTTGAATGAGTAGTAAAAGTAATATAATGTATCGAATCGACAATAATATTTACAATTCGTTATGACAGATTTTTTATATGGTTGCTTGCTTACAGAGAGCAGATGGCGGCTAGACCGCCCTAGTACTAATACCTGAGAGACTGAACAGAGCTGCGGGTGCCATGACATCATTGCAATGGTTTAGTATAGGCAAAAAGGCATAGTCCAAGGTTGCACGCACACTTATAAATCAGTGAAACCATCAAAATCCGAGTATTTTGCATGTCAAGCTTTTGTTATGATGTGTACAAATGATCTTTTCCTACAGTCACCCGACAAAGTTGGCTTCCTTGTCCTGTTCATAGTACAGAAAGCTGCTGATTGCTGCATATTTATACCTTGCCATGCCGTTTATACTTTGCCTAATAAACAAGAAAATACCTTTAAAGTATTTTTTTAGGTGCGGAAACCACTTCAAATTACAAAAACATTCGGAACTATATTCTCAAAACGCGGAGCACATTTCTTGCCGAGGAAAAATAGCGGAGTGATACGGACCAGGTACTACTTTCTCTAGGGCACCTATTTGTGTTGCAATCTGATCCTAAAAACGTGTTGTATAGTGTTTGAAAGACTAATTATTTATATGCATTATAGTCACTGTAGGAAAAATATTATGTGTAACACGAGTGCAAAAAGGCCTTTGATTGCTCTCGTG